AGCGAAACCCGAACACCGCCGTGCCCTCCGCAGACCCGCGGGACCTGCTGCCCTGGGACTGCCCCGCGCGGGCTGGGCAAGGTGCGGGCAGTGGCCCGAACTGACGCACCCCGAGGGCTGAAGCGGGGGCAGCTCTGGTCTTCAGACGCGGGTTTTCGAGGCGCCCGCGTTTGCGAACAAAACGTCAGCTCTCCCGCAGAACCGCACGGCCCCCGCTTGCAGTCCTAGCGGAATATTTGATGCCAGCACAAAGAAGCGCTAAAAATAGAAAGGATGGGGGAAGCAGTCGCTGGTTTCGTTGACTTTTCCAGAGACCGAAATGAACTTCGTTTTCCAGTGGTCACTGGTCCGCCTGACTGCTCGGGTCGGCGTGGCCGTTGGCGGCAGCCTACACCATCGCTTGGCAAAATCACGTTGCCTGTTCGCACAAATTAAAGTGTAAAGAACAAAGTTCCGGAAGAAATTAAGAGTATAACTTGTTTACATAGACATCTGCGGAGCAGAGTTCAAACACGACCATCTGGAGTTGTATTGCTGCCACTTCTGATTATCGCAAATAACGATCTGGGAGAGCAGCTGCCAGCTTTCCTCTGTCGTGGGTCAGCTCTGGGCAGTGTCCCCTCGGCCCTTCCAGGAGAGTGTGTGACCAGCCCCGCGCCCCCCGAGGTGGGACCGGCTTTGGGCTCCCCTCTTTCAAGTGGAAATTTCCATATCCTGTGTTTCAGATCCTTTCTGAAACTTGAATGAGGGGGAACAATGCTGGCAGCTCCTCCCATCAGAAACTTGCCTAAAAGGGGCAAAAATAACGTATTGGCCTGGCGAGCATATCGATAGGAAGCTTGCAGTTGCCTTTTGAGCAAAGTGTACAAACGCTTGGGGCTGCTGCTTCCAGACGCCCTGTGCGGAGGCTCTCACAAAGCCTTTCTGTGTGCCCCGGGCAGCAGGCTTCGCCTTACCGTGAGAACAGAGGCTTCTGCAGCTGACCAGCGCTGTGCTGGGAGCGTGAAACCAAACCGTGTTCAAAGCCGGCTTAAGT